ATAGGGCGATAACAAAAACAAAATGCGATAGAAGGAGGTGAAGAGAATTCGTATAATGTCATTACGACGTAGCGTTGCTCCCTCCGTTTCCATGAGCAATCGAGCTCTTTAGCACTCGCCTTTGTCAAATAATTGTCTCCTTCTTCCCGCTCAGCAAAGAAGAAAGTTCATATTGCACGGTTTAAAATACCCACAACCCGTAGTGCAAGCATTCGACAATAATTAATGGTCTTACAGAAAACTACTTGTTAGACTAGCTATTGTAGTATGCAGATAATGGCTTCTTAGCCTTACAAAGCCCCCTGAGGATGGCGAGCCGATAATGTAATCACCGCCTAATGACCAAGAGCCCGAAGTCCTTTCAGAAGCAGAAGCAAGAAAGTTCAAAGCTAATAGTTTGCTAGACAAATAGTAGTAAAGAGGAAGCCAAACCAAGACTGGAACTAGATCCATTAATCTATTTCTTATGAAGTTGGCAATTCAATCAATAAAATCAAAATAAAAGCGCAGTCTATCTGAAATGTACTCTACAAGATATAATCTTTTTTTTTATAATTTTTTATATTCATTATAACCAATTGGCCTTTGAATAAACCAATTAAGTCCCCTAGTGTAACCTAGTGCACGCTATTGATATCTTTGTCTTGTAATAAAAAGAATGTTTATGAGATTTTTTGGATTTTAGGAAACGAATGTTTAAATAATATTTTTTAACGTAATTTTTAATCATTTACGATTATTTATTTAGAAATCATGAGATGCGGTCTGGTGTGATGTAGGTTTCAGAAAAACATTTTCTTTATCGTGCCAATGTTTCGATCTTTATTGAGATCATCTTCAGGGCCTGGGATTTACAAACATTGTTTACATATTACATGTTTGTAAATCCCAGGCCCTGAAGATGATCTCAATAAAGATCGAAACGTTGGCACGATAAAGAAAATGTTTTTCTGAAACCTACATCACACCAGACCGCATCTCACGATTTCTGAATAATTATCGATTAACGGTCACTAATCACCACACATTTACGATTATATTGTATAATTAACGACATTTAACCCTTTATTATTAAATAAAATTAATATGATTATGAAAACTATTTATATTAAAACATTTAACATCTAATAGGATAAATAATAATCAATATATTTTGCGTAAGCAAACAGTCAAAAGGTGGTTTTAATAAACGAAGCACTTCGAAGTTCACTAACAATAAGACATGTCAGCAAAATTAAGAAGCTAATATCCGATACTCAACCAAACACTAAACAAGCACGACAGCGACGTCTCTATTTACAATCGATATTAAAATCATCTTTATAAATACCGGTGAATATCTCCGGAAATGTATCGCGCCGCTAATAAACGAAAATATGGGGTGGAAAGCTTGTTGAATGATTTAGTATCATTCATGACAGTCTTGACGGCCTGTCATTCCATCATCCGAAATGATTGACTGATTTGACCGGCTGAATAAACTATTTTGGTTTATTTACACTCTGTAGTTCGTGTCGATTTAATTTCTTTATAATCAGCTCGTCGCCGTCGGTCTTGTTAAAACATATTGAACACTTCAACTTAAATGTATATTACATAATTTTAAATCCTGATTCATTTTTTCCCAGGTAATTCAAAACTGTTTATCATACCTGAAGCACTTGCTTCAAACAAAGCCAATTAGATTGGAACAATATGTAAGTAGATAAGTAGAAAAAAGAAGATAGGGAGAAATACAAAGTACATTTCAATTTTAGATTTATTCGATAAAAAATGGGAATCACCGAAATTATAAATGATAAAAAGAAAAGAATTGTAAAGCTATAGATATGTAGATGCCTATAAATGGCAGATTAACATGAAATGTCAAGTAGAAAGGCTGATAGAAGGAGAACGAGAGAAAGTCGTTATGTTTAGAAAGATTGGTAAAAAGAGAAATAAGAAAAAATTAAGGAAAATAGACAACGAGCCTGTTAAGGAAAGAGAGAGTTGAAAAGTACAGACAGAAATAAAGACATAAATTATAAAGAGATTATAAAAAATGAAGGGTTAAAAAAGCTATATTAATAAATATATGGATAAATATAGTGGATTAACATGAAAGGTTAGATAGCAAAAATCATGAAGGTAGAGGGATAAAATTTGAACTACATAGAGAGATTCGTAAATAGAGAAATTGTAAAGATTGAGTGAAAGTGAAAAAGAGAGCAAGAAGTGAAACGTTCAGACACAAATGGAGAAAAACAATATATTGATAACAATGGATAGATAGATAGCAAAAGGTTATTGATAGATCGGTTTTTAGGTAAACGGTTGAATAGAATTTACTACCTAAACAAAGTGAGATAAAAGAATAGACACAAAACCGAACGATAAAGCAATCGGCAAGAGAGAACAAACGCATAAAAACAAAAATACATTGGTTGAAGATACATTAGGATATAATAGATAGATAGCAGGCAGATAGGTTGATAGTTAAAATTATATTCATAAAAATAGTTAAATATAATTACTGTACAAAGAAGGAAATTTAGATGAAAAATTAAATAGAAAAGACTGTCTAATGATTATGGGATAAACAGAGAAGAACACATGAGAATGTAATAACGAGAGAGAGAGGGAGGGAGAGAGAGAGAGAGTGAGAGAGAGAGAGAGAGAGAGGAAATGTACAGACCCAAATGGAGAAAAACGAAAGTACATAGATTGGAGATACATTCGGAAGATGATAGATATCAATAGGTATATTTGTTAGACTGATAGTTAGATAAACAGTTAAATAGAATTTAGAAGAAAGTGTCTTAAAAATATAGAGGCGGAGAGAAAGAGTGGGGAAAGAGAGATGAAATGTAAAAAACACAAATGGATAAAAACAAAAGATTAAGAATTCATTAGGATATTAAAATATAGAGAGAAAGACAGAGAGAGAGAGGGGGGAGAGAGAGAAAGAGATAGAGAGAGAGAACGAGAGAGAGAGACAGACAGACAGAAAGCAAGAAAAGCGAGTAAAGTATACGAATTAAAGACGAATATGCATTTCTTTAAATTGGTTTAATATTTTACTTCGTAGTCGTTTAATAACAATCCAAGAAAGACTTAGGTTTAGAAACCTAGGTTTAGAAAGGTTGTTGGAAAAAAAGGCTCAATGTAAGTAGGAATCGAAGAATCGTATTTAAAAACCCAAAAGGAAAATAAATAATGATCAACAAACTCTAGGTTTACGAATTATGAAGTAAAACTAGTTATGCTGTTTTATAGTATATATTTATGGATAATTTATTTTTTATCGTTTATTTATAAGAGAGAAGGGAGAGGGAGAGAGAGAGAGAGAGAGAGAGAGAGAGAGAGAGTGAGAGAGAGAGAGAGACATACAGACAGACAGACAGACAGAGAAACAACTTTCATAAAATGATTTCTGTATTTCCTTATAATATATGATTATATACATCAATAATATATCTATGTAAACACACGTAAAACGTCTTGGTACGCCTTCTTTGTATTTGATTAAAATTCTACTTTAGTCTATTTTACAACATGTTTAACTATATATATATATATATATATATATATANATATATATAAAACCAGATGTATTCCAAAATAGAAATACAAATAAAAAGTTCTCAATTAATTATACACCATTTTTTCGAAATGAAAAATTTGTATCACAGGCGGGATTCGAACCCACAACTTTCGGGTAAATACCTACCTGCTGCTCTACCACTTGATCTACCGTGAGGTCGATCGCCCATGCCACAAACTTTCCATTTCGACACCCCCTTTTATTCTAATTGTAAGCAAATCGCGGCTTCATATAGAAACACTTTTTATTAACGATTGTACTACATTAGCGGGACTGTACGATTCACAGCCGTCATTCTAAATTTATACTAACTTTTTAATTATTTTGTAAGCTTATACTAAATTATATAAATACTCAATTAATTATATACAACTTCTATAAATGTTTAGCAGCGGCATATTTACCCGAAAGTCGTGGGCTCGAATCCTGCCTGGGCCACAAATTTTTCATTTAGAAAAAATTGTGTATAATTAAATGAGTATTTATATAATTAAGCTTAAACTGATAAAATAATTAAAAAGCTAGTAAAAACAAAAAATAGTAAAATTTCAGTCATTACTGAAATATCCATGTAAAATTTTACTCCGATAAGCTTGTATTTCAATCTCTTTCGGATTTGATTTTGACCATTTAAAATCGATAAATTAAACTAGTAGATTCCAAATAAATGTCCATATATTTCTGTTTTATTATGTAATAATGATCAATTAGTTTTTTTATTATTCCCTGGGGTAATTCTTGTACAACAAACCGTACGGTGACGAATCCTAAGTTCTCACTCACCTCCTTGCCAGGTCTAAGACAGATGATTCAACGTTTTTTGCATCCAACCAAAGTTTCGGATGTTATCATTGGGCAAATGGCCATGGCGGCTCTCTGGCCGGCGGAACATACATTTATTATTGCATTCCACTGCGATCGCAGGAACGTGGAATTTCATTTGAAGCGGCTCCTCCATCCTGGGCGTCCCCTATTAACGCCCTTCATGACTAATGCCGTTGCATACTCAAACTCCCGTCATATTCCAAAACCGACCCTTTCACCAAAATTACGCCATACTCGCGATTTATACTTGTTTCTTGGTCCCAAGGTTTTTTTTCATTCAATTCTGTTTTTTAATACGCACAGGGATACATGTCGGATAAATCATGAGTTACCTTTACATATCAGATCCATTTGTTTGCTGTTTTTATTTTTTTTTTAATTTTTATTTTTTTTAACGGTGGATAAGTTCTTTCCAGCCGTAAAATATGGTTATGACCGACGGATTTTACACACGTGGTCAAACTTTTTATAATTTAAATTTTAAAACCTTTAAAGAAAGAGAAAACGTGATTGTCTATTAATCTTTGATGAAAGATATTGAATAATTAGTATAATTCCTTTTTTTTAAACAACCTTTTTGTTTGATTTTCAGACGGAGACTTGGACTGGAATGAGCCATGAGGGAATCAAATAAGCAAGTGAAAATAGGTGACCTGGAAACGGAGCAGGGGTAAAATGGGTACCTTCGATGGTACCTACGGAGGAGGGTTCAACGAGACTGAAAAAAATGACTCAGGAGTGTACCGTTCGTCGGAGTACGAGCAGGACTGGACGGACATCCTCACTACGGCGATCAAGGGGACCATCATGGGCCTTATCATCATCGCCGCCATACTCGGCAACCTCCTTGTCATCGTGTCCGTGATGAGGCATCGCAAGCTGAGGATCATAACCAACTACTTCGTCGTGTCCCTCGCCTTCGCGGACATGCTCGTCGCTCTGGTTGTGATGACTTTTAATGCAAGTGTTCAGTTAACGGGAAAGTGGCTCTTCGGCTACTTCATGTGCGATGCCTGGAACTCCCTAGACGTTTACTTTTCTTCAGCTTCCATACTTCACCTCTGTTGTATAAGTGTCGATAGGTGAGCAACATTGCAAATACAAAGTCTAATAAATTATCATTATTTTCAACATGAAATGTAAAATCGCTTTTTTAAAATTAATTATTATAGTTACTAGCTTAAGCTACTAACAATCTTGATGTCAATTTTGAAAAAACAACATAAGAGCGATATCAGTCATAACAAGAAACAAATAATTGGACAGGTACCATACTAACAAGCTTTAAATATAATAATAATATATAATATGTCGAAAATTTCAGAAGGTGTTTCTACTCACCATATGCAACAAAAACTTTGAACTTGTCCACTAAATTGCTTATGAATTTCAGAATTACTGACTGCAAAATAGTCTGGTTTGGGCAACCTAAAAGAAAATTAAAGTGGCTGAAGGAAACCTATTTACATTGCAGATTTGATGAAAAAATTGGTCGAGTGAAAGAACCAGTTTCCCACAGCCTCTGATGAAGTCGTTGGAAGGTGAGATCAGCTGGACGTCTCAATGTGGAAAACGGGCTTGGTATTCTACCCTCGCAGCAGTAAATGAAATGCAATAAGCAAGATATGCATTACGAAACAAGGACATAATTTAAAGCCCCAACCTGAGGAAGTTGTCAGCCGATAACATAAAGCAAACTTATTGAATTGAACATTAAAGAGCTAACACAAAACTCAAAAGCCAAACGGATATCCTGGAAAAATTGAACATGGCCCCCTTCATGGACACCAGTTTTTTTTTTGTTTTTGTTTAATGCTAACTTTTTGGGCCTTTTAGAGACGCAATCCAAAAAGGTGGGTATACCGCTGGAAGCTATTTGAATGGAGACTTTTGTGGGAATTTGCAAAGCTCCAGGAGATTGTTCTTATTAACAGTTACCAATCCAACTTTTTAGAAAAATTCCAAATTTCAACATTGTTTTTCTGAATTTTTCATGCACAATTTTTTCATCAATTCTGCAATGTGAATACGTTTCCTTAAAGAAAATTTAACGTTCTTTCAGGTGGTACAAACCAGATTTTTCTAAAATCCGTAATTGTGAAGTTAATAAGCAATTTAATGGAGCAAAGTCGAAAAATTAAAAAAAAAAAAACACCCAAAACCTGAAAATACATCTTCACCGTTGAAATTTAAACAGCGGTTTATAGGATGTTTTTGTTGCATATGGTGAGTAGAAACACCACCTGAAATTTTCGACACTTATCCTCAGTCATACTGTCTTATTGATGAGTATATATATGTATATATNGGTTTAATATTATTACTTTATTCCTATTTATTAAATCTTTTCCTCGTTTCAACAAAACGAATAAATCATAAATGTATCAAAAGAACATTTATAAAACAAAAATAATTCTTATATTGAAATATCAAACAAACTTTGAATTAATATTAACAATTTTGTTGAAACCACCAAACCTCCCTTGAAAAATAAAACTGACTAATTATTAATATTGTTTATACATTGGAACACAAAAATGAAACATAATGAAAAAAGCAAAAAAAAAGAGGAAACTGAGTTGATCTGTATTTGTGGACAATAGGTTATTAAAAGGAAGGTAGACTTACATTATTAAAAGATTATACAAATAAATTGCAAAACGAACTTTGTATTGACTTAAACAAATGAAATATTCAATTCGAATGTTATAATTGAAAATAATGTGGAAATCCTTTTAAAACGAAAAAAACAAATGAAAATTAAAAACCTTTTGCGATGATCGCTGCTTGATGAAAGTCGGCTGAATGTCTTTTCAGAACAGTACCTTTTTTTCTTCCCAAAGAAAATGTAACGGTCCTTAAAAAAAGTGCAGCTTCCAGCGCAGCTCTAGCCCAACAGGCCTCTTCCAGTTTAAGTCTCCTTCCACCTCCCTTTGAGGCTTATGGAAGGGCTTTGGGCGACCCTTATAATTTCACGATAATATTATATATAATATGCAAATAAACTCTACATCTTGAATGCATCTATGCTCCAAGTTGCGATTATTCATCCCTTGACACGCAGGAATAGTTTGTTAATAAGTTGGTCAGTTATTATAACAACTGTGCCACTTTTCTTGATAAATACAGTGCGTTACCGCCAATTCAAAAGGTACTGCCTAATAGCTATAAGTTCACCCACAGTTGTGCAAAATGTTACAGTAAATCAAAATATCGTAAATACTGAATTACCACGAACATATTATATGCGAAAAAAAGGAATTTGCATGTCCTTAATTGAATCTAACAGCATTCTTAGTTCTTATTGCTGCGTTCTTCTCTTCATTGAAACAGCAAAGTTGTACTAATGTTAGAATTATTTTACTTTTCAATGTTAAAAGTATTGATCGCTTTTTACTCACGTACATTCTGGATCATGGTATGGTCTTGAAGAAAAAAGCAAATTCTGTTATTACTCCCAAGCTTTCGACCTATTTTAAGGTCAATGTCAGGCTTATATTAATTTCACATTATAAAAACAATTATTAAATCAATTGTACGAATATGTTTTTCGTAATATGAAATTAATTTAAGACTGACGATGACTTAAAATAAATCGAAAGCTTGGCAGTAAGAACGAACTGAATTTGCATTTTTCCTCAAGACCATACCTCGATCCAGAGTGCACGTGAACTATTTTAGTTTCATTTCTTTTATTTCAATAACGTACTTAATAATAATATTGTTTTCATATTTTTTAACAATGTTGTCTTTTAACTTTTACATTAATTTATAGTTGCAACGATTTTTTGAATATTTTAATTACACTCTGTTTAATAGTCAATAAAACCTTTATTTTAATAACTAATTTTGTATTTTAAATAACTAATTAGTCTGACTCCAGGAGGAAAGCTTGGACAAAATAATCTTAGTAAAATTTATTACACTGATATTTGTTCGTTAGGTTTGCATGTTATCTGTACGATTATAAAGAAATTAATACCCTTATAATCATTCATTGACAATATTATCGTTAGAGCAAGCAAACTAACTTAAACTACTGAGAGTTAATATATGCAAGAAAAGTGTCACAACTCAAAAAGGGAGACTGATGGATTTTTAATTTTTTGGTTTTCGCTAAAGCTTTTGACAATGAAAAGACAATATTGACGAATCATGACAGTTTTTATTGCCAACAACGGTAAATTCGCGTACTTAATACATACAATTAATTAAGGTTTTTAGTTGAGATAAAAAAGTCAATGGCACGAGCGGGATTCGAACCCACGATCTTCGGCTAGATACGCCGCTGCTCTACCACTTGAGCTATCGTGACCTCGATCCTCTCGGACTTCCCATCTCAACCCCACCTTTTGAATTTTCCATTGAATTGATTTGAAAAATGGCAAAAAGGAGGGAAAATTAAAACAAAATTCAACCTCCAAAAAACTGTCCTTTACTACAAATAGTAAGATAAAGAACGAAAAAAATGTTAATAAAAATTATTATTTATTATTATAATATACATAATAATAAAAAAGAAAAATTTAAATAACAATAAATAATCAATACATTACTTTTAAAATTCGTCCAATCTTAAATCATATTAATGAAAAGTTAAAAACGTATTAGAAAATAATAAAATTAATTTAAAGGAGTATTTAAAAAATTCTCGTTTATTAAAAATTGTTAAATTCACTAGTTTCGTGGTCCGCTTGACCAATAAATATCTTTCAATCTCTTTTTATCTAAACTAAAAACCTTAATTAATTGAAATTGATTAAAAATGTCTGTTTATTATAAAATAGTGACAGTAAATAAAAAAGAAAAGGCTATTTTTAAACCATAAAACGTATTATTTTGTAAAGTGACCACTTGAGGTCACGGTTGAGGTCACAATAGCTCAAGTGGTAGAGCAGCAGCGTATCTAGCCGNATATATCAAAAATGCAAGAATATTTTTCACCCTCGGAGCAAAACTGGTTAGGCAAATTTTTACGAATAAGATTTATAAGTGCATATTGCAATAAGTATTTTAGCCTGACAACATTTCCAGCATTTTATTTATCTATTTTTACACAAGAATAGCACATATACTGAAATAGAATAATTGTATTACCTACGTCTTCATGAATCTATGTAGTAACAAAGAGATATGTTTTGTTACCTAGTTGTATTAGCATTTGTTTTGTTGGTAATAAATGAGTTAGTGCACTTATCCCACTTCTAATATCTTGATTTTTAAAACTTTACTTATCCCATTTCACCAGCCTAGCAGATCAAAGGTGTGAACTGCATAAGAGATGGTACGATAATCGGCAAGTTTCCTAAATTTCTGTTCAAAACTAGATAATTGTCGATTCATAATGGGATAAGTACGAGAAAGTCAAGGTATAATTAAATAAATGAAAAGACTATTTACTGGAATAAGCAAATTCTATTTGTTAAAATGTGAGTGTAATAAAAAAGTAATGTAATACGAAAACTCAATTACCAAAGTTTTGCAAAATTTGCAACCCTGAAAAGTTAGATTTTTGTCACATCCAGCTTGGTTTATGATCGGAATACACACGAAATAGAATAAAGTTCAGATAGAAAAGGTGCACAGTGTATTAAATGTTATTAATGGCTAGCAATTATTGTGATTTAGTAATTTTCTTCGGAAGTTTTCCTTGTAAGCTTTATTGTTTATCTTATTATTTGGCATTAAAATTGAATGTCTGTGTTTCTTAATTATTAATTGTAATTATATGTTTAGGTACTACGCTATAGTGAAGCCTTTGAAGTACCCAATCAATATGACAAAGAAAGTGGTTGCGATTATGCTGCTCAGCACCTGGGTGTCGCCTGCAATCATATCCTTCGTTCCTATTCTCTGCGGCTGGTACACGACGGACGAGAACCAGGAATTTCGAAACCGCCACCCCGACGTTTGCGAATTCAAGGTGGGTTTTAATTTTCCCCAGTTGGAATGTATAAATAAAATGTGTTCCCTCAGGAAAGGGCGACCGGATGAATATTTGTACCTTGGTATGGCCGGATTCGACAAATTACCGGCTGGCCGAATGACATGGAAGGCCCTAGGGCGAATCTGCTATCCATTATTGCCAAACATAGTGAATCGTGGACCCCGTATAGAATCGGCATAATTAAACTATTTATAGCCGAGAACGTTTGTACCGGAACGAGGCCTTGCGTGACATCCCGGAATCGTTACAATTGCAGAAAATCGCGTTGTCCTTGAACAGCCATGTGAAACATGCCCTATATCGTTGCTACTACCATTATTTCATAGTATACAGTCATAATTGATATTCTCAAAGCCTTAATTTTTCTGTTAATCCACTCTTTTATTCTGACCTTTCACGTAAAAATTATTAAAAGCTTCTTTAATCACGACAGAATAAGTTTGTCTGAACGCCTATCCTATTTACGAGCTCAGGAAGTGTTATCTGAGACGCACGAAAAGAAATCATAAAGCGAGAAAACTCTTTTTTTTAACTATCCCATTCCACAATGTGGAATACTCATCGAATTATATCATAAATTCATTAGATTTCGTGATCTGATTGACCAAATGATATCTTTCAAATTAATTAATTTTTATTTAAGTTTGAGATAAAAAAAAGTCAGTGTCACAAGCGGGATTCGAACCCACGTCTATCGGCTAAATACGCCGCTGCCCTACCACTTGAGCTACCGTGACTTCGATCCACTTGGACACCAACTTCCCACCTTAACCTATATCATAAAATTCAAAAGGTGGGGTTGAGATGGGAAGTTAGTGTCCGAGTGGATCGAAGTCACGATTGCTCAAGTGGTAGAGCAGCGAATCCCGCTCGTGCCATTGACTTTTTTATCTCAACTAAAAACCTTAATTAATTGTAATATATATTAATTGGTCAAGCGGACCACGAAATTAGTGAATTTAATGATTTCAAATGAAGTGTACTTCACTAAAGCTCTCCGTGGCCATTTCATTTGTCGTCGAGAATCCAATCCGATTACACGACATTTGAAAAATGGCACAAAGGATGGAAAATTCTAAAGATGATGTTGAGATGGGAAGTTAGTGTCCGAGTGGATCGAGGTCACGATAGATCAAGTGGTAGAGCAGCGGCGTATCTAGCCGAAGATCGTGGGTTCGAATCCCGCTCGTGCCATTGACTTTTTTATCTCAACTAAAAACCTTAATTAATTTTAATATATTAATTGGTCAAGCGGACCACGAAATTAGTGAATTTAACTATATCATAAAGTTTAAATTAAAATCATGGTCATAGATCTTGAGTTAATTATAACGCTCCAAGAAGTAATGAACACGTTCACACGAATCCGCCTATGTATTCAATGTATTCAATACATACATGTTCAATAAATACGTAATATAAGCTTGAAATATAAATGTGTAAAAGCACTATTTAAAGAACTTTGTATATACACTGACAGGCAAAATATTCCACCCACTTGTAATATAACTTGATTTGTATATATTTTTATATATTAATTATTATTTTTAACGTTTAATAACTTAATGTTTTTCTAAAAAGTAAAACATGTAAATTGCTAAGGAAAATGAGAAAAAGGCGGGCAGATAAAATTTAGAATTGTAATTAACATTTCAATATCGCGCATTTCCTCCTCTTCCCTTAATTACATTTCGAAGGCCTCGGCGTACTTTCTACCAGCCTGGAAATGTCTCTTTGCTGGAGATTAGCACGTGTAGATCGTAGGACGTGCTCTTACTCAACTTTTGAAGTTATCCCATAAATGTTCGATGGGGGCTGCTACAGGCCTTGACCCTGATGTGCTGTTGAAGGTACGTTTGTACTAGGCGAGCGACATGTGGATTGGCATTTTCGTGAATTAGAATAGGAATAGGAATTATGAGGATAGGCAACACATGATGTTCCAAAATTTCATCTGCATAGAAAGTGGCCGTCAAAGACCCTCCAGGAACAACAACCAACTCTGTGCGACTCTCCATTGAAATTCTCTCCCACACTATTACTAAGCTTCGTTGAAAAGGTGGGCTCTGGGAAAAATTACAAGCTTCGTACTTTTCAGTTGCTTTCTCCACGTTGTTTCACGCCAATCTGGATATCGTAGAGCACGTCTACACTCATCTGTAAAACGTACAGCGTACCAATCTCCAAAGACTAGTGGCTGGGTTCTCGAGCAAATGCGAGCTGTGCAACTCTTAATATTATGGTCAATTCTGGTCCTCTATAGGGCGAAAAGCCATCAGTCCATATTGATTTAATGTTCTGCGAGCAGTCCGTAAAGAAATTTGGACAGCTCGAACTTCCTGGTGCTGATGAATCGCTTGAACAACAGTAAGGTGCCGGTTTCTCAAAATTCTCTAAGTCAAAAAACGGTCATCCTCTGGTTATGTTACCCTAGGGTGTTCAGAACCGGACCTTCTATGGTAGGACCCCGTTTCTCGAAAACGTCCAACAGCGTCTCGCAGAGTTTACCTGATGGAACGTACATCGTACCATGCGCAACATCTTCAGCACTGGTAATTTTAAGTTTACAAAAGGAAATTAAGAAAATAAGGATGGAAATAAACAGTTTATTGCTTCAGAATTCAAATGAGGCTGAATAAACATTTTAAATTCGGTAAAAAGTAAACATTGAAAAATCCTTTATCCTTGATTTTGGTAAGGATTAAGTGTGTTTACTCTAATCGATATTCCCAAGTTAAAACAAAGCATACACAAATATTTTTTGGCAAAACAATGAGATATGTTAATGGTGGAATTTTCTTTTTCGCGAAAATGAAAAATAATCAATTGGGTGGAATTTTTTGCCTGTCAGTGTATAAAAAATGAGGAATTATTTTTTCAAAAGTAAAATTTATGAATTACATATTTTATCTAGTATAAAGAATATTGAATGTCTTGTCAGAATCGTACGTCTTTTTTCTGATTATTCAGAAATCGTGAGATGCGGTCTGGTGTGATGTAGGCTTCAGAAAAACATTTTCTTTTTATCGTGCCAACGTTTCGATCTTTATTGAGATCATCTTCAGGCCTGGAATTTACAAACATTGTTTAAATTTAACAAATACATGTAGGATGATAGATTCACTTTTTCCACATCCTACCTACATCACACCAGACCGCATTTCACGATTTCCGAATAATCATCGACTAACGGTCAATAATCACCACACATTTCTTTTTTCTTTTGAAATAATTCAAAATGAACTGAACGAATGGCACGATAAAATATTAATGATATAGCGTTGCTTGTGTGTCTTTTTTTTAAATAGGTCTTTGATCGAGTCTGGCATTCAAGCTTGCTTTGGAAACTAAAAAACATCGTCCCTCAACCGTACTATCTCACACTGAGATCACAGATTTTTTCGAGCCAGTCAGGGAAATGAATTTTCATTTTATGTACGCATTATGACGGTGGTTCCTCAGGGAAGCATACTTGGCCCATTTTTTCTATAAATACTGCAGATATTCGTAAATATGTTATCGTTTCAATACATACATTCGCTGATCATAAAGCGATTCTTACTTGTACTTCGGACCCCTCAATGAACACTCAACATTTACAACGATATTATAAATAATTATAAAGGCTACTTGACTCAAGAATAAAATTAGACATTGATTCGTGGACGTTGATCAGTATGATCAATATTTTTGGAGGGAAACGGGTCAGAAATTCCAGGAGCGGTGGTGGGAATCGAACCGACGACCGTCCATCCATGAGATTAGATTCTGACTCGCTAGCCACTCGGCTACCGCGGTCGCTCATTTTTCCAAATTTCCGTTAAAGAATGAGTTTTTATTTTAAAAATAAAAAACATGGAATCAAATAATTAAGTTTGACTGCTCTATCACAGCACTAATACATTTGACAAAAAACTACAATTAAGTATATTATTTTAGTTTTTCACGATGTATCATATAATACACACAAAAATGTTTAAAGTATGTTTCCCTAGGAGTAAAGGAAGACAAACTATTTCGAAGGATGATAAATCAAGAGACAAAATCAAAATTGTGTACATTTATTTATAGATAAGATAAATTAGAAGAACATATTCCTTCCCCTTTAATATTCTTCCTATTTTAACTTTAGTTTCATTTAGTTTTGTTTTATCCATGTTGTATTATGCAATGAGAAAGATACTAAATTTTATTATCACTTTTATTAAAGTCGTTTAATGTGCGAATAAAGAAGTCGCTCTCTGGTAACCCTGGCTTCAGCCGGATAATCCCAGCATTATCCCACTTGGGACTTTATACCGGAGTACACTAATGTTATCTTATTGCGGCGTTTAATGTTTTATTATATTCTTTTAAACATAGATATGCTCCTTTTTCTAATTGCTTTTAAGTTGTTAATTGAATCTTTTGAAATAAAAATATTTTAACGCTAATGTAGACAGCTAAAATAGATAATAGAACCATATTTGCTTAGTGGTCATAATTGACCATATTAATTATTCCAATTAGTTATTCTTTTTTATCTAAGGTTTTTGGTTGAGATGAAAAATTAGTGCCACAAGCGGGATTCGAACCCAGACCTTCGGCCCAATACGCGCAGCTGTAACTACTATTCACGATAACTCAAGTGATTAGAGCAGCAGCGTATTGAGCCGAAGGTCGTGGGTTAGAATCCCGCTCGTGGCACTAATTTTTCATCTCAACCAAAACCATTAGATAAAAAAGGATAATTAATTTGAATAGATAATAGAAGTTTTTTCAGTTTTCTCAAATTTATATTGTGTGAATGCTACCTGCTATTACTTACAATTTCCTTTAATTAGGGTATTTTTTGTATTAATACACATTTTAATAAGTGTGGCGTGCGGTTCGTGTATAACTTCACGGTTACCTGCATATACACGATACTAATATTAAATATTATTTATATAACTTAAAAGCACAAAGAATTCTGAGTAAATATTTTTCATGGAAGA